AATAAGCTTCCAATTGATTCGTTTAGTGATACAGAATCATAAGACAACCACCGCTACCTTTACGATCTAAACTCGCGAAGAGAGGTCTGAACAATTATACAGGTGGGAAAAAAACTAATTTCCAGCACATTTAAATTTCCAACAGAGCCGTCTTTCTATGCAACGGAAGACATATACTCTAACATATTTTCAGCGATTTTTTGATGACGATTTGATTACATATAAAATCAAACTAACGTATACCCCCTCTATCAACAGGGGTATCTCTCAACACGATCCCATTTTGAACCAAAGCTTTTGTAAGCATAAGATGCTAATGGGTTGGGTACAAGTGGCTGCTTTTGAAGATTATCGGAGTCCTGAAACTCGACCTGAAAACATCGCTGAGGTAATGTCAGTGAAGAGATTCAAAAAGCTTAGACGACTCATACACATTCAAGACGATGAAGAATAAAATCATTGTTATTTCTTTCAGTTGCCTTTCTTGTTATGTTATATCGTCTTAGAATAATTCCATCTGACTAAAATTCGCCACAATTCATTGTATCGTTGTATTTAAAGTCAACTCTAATTTTGAACGAATTAGTTCTTCCTATAGTTTTAAGTTGTTACATGATAAAGGCATTATTATTACCTCTTTTTTAACCCTTAACTGTGAGGTGCATAATATTTTGCGTACTTGGTGACGTGGTGCCTAGCGTACCCCATTTTTAAAATAATTGTTATCGGCTTATTTTTTTATAAATTGAATAATTGATACATATTGTGTATTTACATATTACTTTAAACTATGAATAAAAAAATATTAGATTTTAAAGAGCTAACTTGATTATTACATGATTATTTAACACATTCTGAATAAAACCCTTTTTTTTGACAGACATAAACTTATTATTAACTGAAACAAATTTGTTGAAAATTTTAACAGTTTAACTTCAAAAATTACAAAATGAAAGTAAATATTCTATAAAAAAAGGAAAAAACCATTCTAAAAAGTAATATTTATTAAAAAATGACACTTGATTTATTGGACCAAATTTATTGTTCACAAACAGTCCATGCATATTTTTTCTGTACATTCCGCACATATTGGCGTATTACAAAATTTACAAGAGAATATAGTTTTCTTTTTTTTGAACCTGGACACTTTCCACAGCGTTTTTCTTTTGTTTAAAAGATTTTCATCCATAGCAATTGGCAACGAATTTGCAAGATTTTCCTATGAAATTCGGAGTTCTCGTGACACCCGTATGTTCTCGATTCTTCCTAAGAAGTTGAGGTTTTACGAGAGAGAATGCAAGATCTTTGATAAACTGAAATCTATATTTGAGTTCACTATTTTTTTGTGCATGTATATAACACATATGAATTTACGGAAGAAATGTTCAGGAGCTGCAAAAAAATCGCCATGGGCCATCTTCGAGTTCGTCTGCTTGTTGAAAAGGTAGCACATTTTGGTCCAGACTATCGACCCCACCTTTAGTGAAGTTATAAAAGGAAATTATTTCTTCTTTTCCAGTGTCAGTGGAACTGCTAATTGCTTTTCATCTATTGTTAGTTCTTGACTATCACTACCTCTTCCCGAATAAATATACGCGTTGAACAGATATGATGTACGAGCGTCCACACAAGGCCATAATTTTGATGCCATATTTATTAGGCTTATTTGGCATATATACTTTAAATCCACATCTGCCTCGAAAGCCAATAAGCATTTCGTCAATACAAGCCAAATCATTCAAGCAGTAGTTTTCTTTAAGAGTTTTCAACAATTCTATTGAAAATCCATGATATCGCTGCTGTCTTATCTGTCTTCTCTCTTTCTTTTCGACTATCAGCACAGTCGAATCTCAAAACAGCCAACAAAACTTGAACCCTTTTTTGTGCAATTGTACACCGAAGAATGTCCCTCCCAGTTCCGTCTGTGGCATAAAGACTATCAAGATCTTCGTGGTTCGATTTAAAAATAGATGTAAAAAACAAAATGCCAAGAACCTTTTGTTCTATCATGTCAACATCAACTAATTCAGTTTTTTGTTGGTCCTTGTATTTATCCTTGCTAGTGCCAGTTTTTCATTTGTCCATCTCATTATTCAACGAGAACATCGTCTGTAAAGATACACTGCCACAGAGTTAATGGTGTTGGTTTTCTAATGCCCTCGCACTAACCTTTGAGACTAGCAAGTTGCCTGACTAGATTGGCAGCAGGAGTTTTTGTATGAGCTCTCTGAGCAGGTTCCCCTTGCCCATTTGTATCTGTTCCTCCCATAAAAGGCCCTTCTTTCATTAGTTGTTTGTTCGTCTTCACTACTCTCAGAAGAAGACTGTTCCATCACCGTTATCCTCATCATTGATTCCTTCGCTTTGCTCAGTGTCGGAATTAGAGTCGTATAATTCTAATTCTGTTACATTATTTGTTTCCTCTTCTGTATCACTATCTAAATCACTAAACCACTTTCTAACAGTCTCCTCAAAGTTGGGATCGTTGTAAGATACTTTTTTGATGACCCACTAGCCATTTTTCTACAAAAAAACAGTAATTATATAATTATCTACAAAATAAAAAATTTACACTTACGGTGATGTGGTGCCTTCACGTAACCCCAGCAAATATTTAGCACGAAATAATAGTAAAATAATAATTCACAAGACGTTCTCCTCGCAACAGCTCTCATAAAACTGCTTGACCGATGCATTCCTAAACGAGTCTGGCGATAGATAACCGTAACCTTGAGATATCACCAATATTTGGTAGAGGTGGGGTCGTGTACGGCACCACCTCACCAGTTCCGGTTTATGATAGTTTATCAGTTATATATTTGCTTAAAATATTTGTGTACCTCGGAGGTAAAGGACACTATGTCCATTTTTATCGAAATTTAGATTAATTGCACTTTTGAATATAACTTTTCTGGCTCTACACATAGGTAAACCATACTATGTCCAGAGACAATTTTACGGCAAGTTACGACTTTTTAATAAACACCAACTCCACTTCCAGTCAGAGGTAAACAACACCATATGGAATTGGTGTTGTTTACCTCTAGTAAATAGTACCCAGTAGGACATAGTGTTATGTACCTGAAAAATGTTATCGTATTTTTGATTATAACAAATATACGTTCTTCTGCGATAATCAGAAGGAAAATTCTTGTTTTAAAATCTTTATTTTACGAATATTAAAATTACAAATCTAAAGGTAAGGTTGCTTCTTGTCGAGTCCGTTGATGTCACTTGTCATAAAAAATGGTCGGCGCACGCCTCCTCGTCATGCACCACAAGCACCCCGCATAGATTAACACAGCGTCGTTCAAGGTTCAAAAGAAAGTTGAATATATGGCACGCAACATAGCCGCCTCCATTGAAAAGTCTAGTGGACTTTAAATAATTGGTAGAACACAAAGTTTTGTCACTGGGCGTTGATAACTTCCATTCAAAGTCTTTACGGTAGCAGTTCGAATAACACCATCAACACCAGGGAACACTTCGGAAATACGACCGGTTAACCATTTTTGTGGGGCAAGTCATCTTCTTTAACGATTACCAACGTTCCAGGTTGAAGTAGTTAGGTGAATTATTTTTCCATTTTTCTCGAGCCTGAAGTTGACTAATATAGTCTCTAACCATCGAGACCAAAAATCTTGAGTGATTGCTGATAGCTGAATTTGCTTCAATCTGTTTAGTCGGTGTATTCAAATAATTTGTTCTGGAATGCTTGTGATAGCTCTCCAATGAGAAAATGCGATGAGAGAGTGGTGTAGTATCATTGGATCGGACGACAACGGATGCAAAGTCTGAATTTAAGATTCCCTCTATTTGAACCAAGACTGTTAGAAACTGTTCATAGGATAAAACATTGGTTCCGACTACTCTTTTCAAATGAAACTTGACAGATCTTATTCCCCGTTCCCACAATCCCCCAAAATGAGGCGCTTTCGCAGGTACGATTTCCAAGATATACCTTCAAGTGATAAATTAATATGTATTGTTTACTTGCTTGTTTAAGAAATAAAACCAAGCTCCTTATAGCACCTACAAAATTAGTGCCATTAATCCGAAAAAATTACAGAAGGTTTTGCCTCGTCTAGAAGAAAATCTTCTCAATGCGATAAAAATGAGTGTGTAGTAAGTCTCCAACAAGTTCGAGATGAACTGCCTTCGTGGCCATGCAGATAAAAAGACAGATATACGCCTTTTTCGTTTTATAGGGTTTGGTAAAATCGATC